TCAGAACAGTTTCAGTTGGTTTCATAATATCACACTTCATCAGCTGCATTGCTACGCCAACATCTCGAGCGAGAGATGATAAAGCAACACAAGCTTGCTCAACCTATCAAACCTGTAGTTATGGTGATTGTTCCCAAAAGAAAGTATAGTTTTTTTTTCAACCCATAGCATAGAACAAAAAACCAACATACCACGTGGCGATTGTCACTAGTTATCATACTTATAAGCTGCCTCACCGCATTTTCATCTTTACCAATAACAGAACGGTTTCCTTCATCTTGCATTATTTTCACCAATGTAGATGCTAGAAGAGGATGATGACAAGACGAAGAACGGAATATAAGGGGAGAGAAGGCACTTAGCTTGTGCCTAGATGCCCCAAAATAGGAAGTGTTTTCTGTCTGGCATCATGAAAAGTCACCCTTAGAATAAAACTTAATGATCTGGAGAATGAAAAGTAGCAGAAATTTTGTGCGATGAGTTTTCTTCTTACCTCAATCTGTACATTTACTGATCTTAGATTCTCATCAGACACAATTCTGATATTTACAAGAGACAAGTGGCGAAGCTGATGCAAGGGTAAAATTTCTGGAAGGAATTCAAGAGGATTACCAAAAAGCCGTAGTATTCGTAGCCCAGACATCGCCCTGCATTTCAATCGAATAACTAATCAGGCTCATACTAAAAAAATAAAGCAAAACAGTAATACCACCTCTCTGCAACAATGACCTGAAATCAAGAAGAGGCCGGACAAGTTTATTGTGTTCCAACGACAATTCAACAAGACCCACACACTGTCTTAGTTCCACTGAACAAGAGTTTCAACCAACATCAGTTCCAACATGTTTTTCTGTTATGTGATTAACAAGTATAAGGAATTGTCAGGTTACACTCACCTGGCACAGAAATAAGCATGTTATTGTCAACTCTAAGTATCTTAAGATTTTTCAGCTTCCCTATCTCAGATGGCAAAACTGACAATTTATTGTGCTCGAGACATAGCTTCTCAAGCAGAGGTAACTCAGTCACTTCAACTGGCATTACCTGCCCAACATTGCAAAGCATTAAAAAAGGAACAGCAAAACCCAATTTTCGAAAAAAATCTCTCCTCCTATGTTCAAAAGCTGTATCATGTCAAACGAAATCGAGCTTATCTTGATAAAATTACATTCATGAAATATCTATACCACATTTCCTAATCAAAGTTGCTGCATTTCACCACTTTCTTCCTTGGATTCAAGAAACATACCAATAAACCACAACCAGATAGACTCAACGAAGTCACAGTCTTCCAATGCACCCCACAAGATGACGCAACATCGATAGCCGGCGCAGGAATGGCTGCAGGCATCATATCCGACCGCATTAGCCTAGTCAAAACTCCTACACCATCATACTGCTGACCAGAACCAACCGCTTTCATCAATGTAACTGCTCGCAAAGGCTCCCTACGTTTCTCAACTCTCATCTCTAATCCAACATTCTCTATAACACCTTCATCGCCATCTCCAATTCCCTTCAATTCAACCACCACTGTATCATGCGGTGCAGGTAAAGCCACCATTAACTGCGATTCCAATCGCAACGCTACCTGATCCTCCGAATCGCCTGCTGTCCAATCTAAATCAATACGGAACCCTAATTCCGGATCCTCCACCGCGGATGGAGAAGAACACGACGAAGACATCGACGTTGGAGATCCGAATGGTGACGCAGACGGTGATTGAATCGGATCGTCGTTTAGATCATCGGCACCGTAACTGAGACTCAAACGGAAACTCTCCGATGATCTCTTCCATCCTAATCCCCACGACATGGCGAAATTCTCCGATCACCGAAATCAATACCGGAGAACGTCGAATCAAAATCGGATCCAATTGGATGATTCAGAATTCGAGAATCAAAAATGCAAATCCGATCAATGAGTGATGATCAGAGAAGAGAATAGTCTCATTCATCACTGGATTATTCTTCTCTTCCGTTTCTGATCTCTCTCTCGCTCGCCTGAGTTTTGTTAACTTGATAATCTTATGACACGCTACGAAAACGTCGTCGTTCGTTTCAAAGGTATATTTTTATATGATTACTAGATCATGACCCGCACGTACGTGCGGGGTTTTATATTTTTTAAAAAGTTCTAACAAATTTTAATTCAATATAAATTATTTCGTTGTTTTTATGATATATATTTTAGTGTATTAGATTTGGATTCACACGTACGTGTAGAGATATTTTTATAGAAATTGTTATATAGATTTTAAAAATATAAAATATTTTGTTGTGTTAGTGAACTTTATAATAGTACAAATAATATAAAATTAGAGTAATAAACGAAATTCAGTTGCGTTAGTGCATAGTTATATTTTAAGATCCGGACCTACACGTACGTGCGAAATTATATTTAAGATAAAACTAAGAAATAATTTAGTTGCAAAAGTTAAATGATGTTACTTTTTTTATTTTCTAAACTAATCAAAACATTTCTAATAGTTTGATTATATGTGTTAAATAGGATATAGATTCGGTTTGAGTTTGGTTATTTCATGTATATTAGTTAGGCGTAACTATTTTAGAACGGGAAACATATTCCGTCCTATATCTGTCATAAATTCTTGGTCCCATAACCCGTCTTGTATACGTGAAATAAAAATATGACATTCCAGTATCCAGCATAAATAGAATATGTGTAACTGAAAATGTACGTAAATGATTATGTATGTAAACAAATTTATTTTATATAGTACTTATAACCTGAACTCATACCAATTGGGTATTTAGTTTGATTTTTAATTTATGTTCCCCTCTCATCCCGTCTCGTAATTCCTATTCTCATTTCATTCCATTAAAATCATGTTCCAAATTCTTATTTGCGTACTTTTAAATACCATACAATACATACTGTGAGTTTTGTAGATTAATATATATGCTGCTAAAGTTACAAATATATTTTAACAATTTATTAATGTTTCTTTCCTTAGCTAAATTTTGCATATTCTTCTTTTTATTGTTTAATCATAATTAATTTGATTTTTGGACTAAAAATAAAAATTTGAGATAGATCTTTAAAAGGGATATGCTATTGCTGCATAATTTGAATTCAAAATATACAATTAGTTTACATTATTTGAAAACTGTGTGCAATATATTAGGGATTTATTTAAGGAAGAACCGGTTGAAAAGCAAAAAATAAAACGCAAAATAATTTAAAAATTAATATATACAATCTATTGTTAGATATTTATCAAACTTGCTTTAAACGAAAGCTATAATGATAATTACTTTAAATTTATTATTATTTGAGTTTATTTCATCATAAATATAAAGAGTTGTTAATACCTAATATCGTATTTTAGAAATTGTGAAATAAAATTTTGTTTTATATTTTAAAATTTGTGAAAATATTATAACAAAATTGAATCTTAAAATATTTGTATTTAATTTTCTTACACAATTTTAAATTTAATTTTAAAGTCCTCCATTGATAAATCTTTTAAATGATAGTGTTTTTAATTTTGAATTAAAATGATATTATTTTTCTTTTTATTTTTGATATAGAATAGTCTATTAAAATTTGTTTTATTTTTGAATTAAAATCTTAGTTGGATATCAAATCTTAGTTTTTCAATTCCTATTGGTTAACAATTTTTTAAAAATTAATTTCAAATTTTCGTTTAAAATTAATAAGAGAGAGAAAATTAGTTTATTTTTCTGGAAATTAATAATTATTTAAAAGAATTAAACTATTTTTTATTTAAATATATTAATTTTGTGATTACTATTGTACCCTTAATGAAGTTATTTAAAAACACAAAAAACCAATGGCATTGTTTGTAATTCTTTACCCTTTATAAGGTTATTTATTATCCAATGCTTCCCAATTAATAATATAGATTGTGAAAATACAATTTGATTTATACCAACAAAAAAAAAACAATTATGCATTATATTTTTTTTTTGGTAAGAAAAAATTATTATTATGCATTATATGATTATATCACAAATGATCTTCAAGTAAAAATTTATTAATTATTATATAACAGAAACAAACATTTACACACCAATGTCAAATTAACATATCAAAATAAAGTATAAAAACAGATATTACATTTAAATAGAGGAACAAATAAACATAATGGACTCAATTAAAAAATCTTATACCCACATCTCAGAGAACATGCTATAAGGTTGTCTCTCTTCAATATTTTGCCTTGACAAGGATTCTTGCAATTGTCGCATAATGGTCGAGAAACTTAATCTTTGTAAAGAACTTGAATCTCCTTCCCATTTACTTTGAAAAATTGACCAGGCTTCACATATGGGTCTTCACCCAATAAGCATTCAATATGGAAAGTAGTACAACATTCATTACACCAATAGAATATTTTTGTTAATGTATCTTTAAATTACGTTCACATACCTCACACCACCAATCTTCTTTTACATACTTCTTCTCCACATAAAATTTCGAGAAAGTGTTTGTCATGCTTAGACCTTGCTTCGTATGGTAAGGTAGCGCACTTCATACATACGATAAAATCACATTTTATGCAATTCATATACATATTTCTATCATATGCTAAAATTGTAACTTTGCATATGATACACATGGTTTTTTCTTTTGGATCTAAAGCTAGGAACAAGGGATGTTTATGACCTTTGTAATCAAACGGTTCAGAATTTGAAGCACACCGTATGTCAAGATCGAATTCACATTGCTTTAACGGACATTGATAGACAAAACCACCAGCACAACGATTACAAGCACTGCAAAAGAAGTAACCTTGACTATATCCAGAGTCATTCTTTAATACAAGAGGATGAGGATGTAACACATGTTGAATTATTTGGTGAGCTTTTGCGCATGTTTCGTGGAGGACAAACGCACACTCCATACAAGAATAGTAGATACCTTTAAAGATAGGAAGGACACATGCTTGACAAAACTTATTTTCATCATAAAGTATGCTAACTGTCAAAGATATGGTAACGATATAGAAGATGATTCTTATTGATTACGATTGAAGGCAATGCCTTTATATACAAGAGACATTAGACCTAATTGCTCATATACAATGTTAACTATATGTAAGTGGGCTAAGGGCCTCATAATCTCGCCCATTACTAACATCAAGTTGGAGATGATGGTTATGAAGAAAATGAAGTATCACTCCTTTAGATGTCCTCTCAAAAGACTCAACATCTTTTGTTGTATTTTCTTTTTCTGGAACACCTTCAAGATATCTTCCATCCAAAACATGTTTCCCTAGAGCACATCTTGAATGGACAACATAAGCATTACACTTATGACAAGTATATGCACCATAATCACAGTCAATACTTTTACGACAAACTCCACAAGACCATTCTTGGGACCGGAGAGAAGGAGTATAGGAGATACGATTATGGTGCCGTGATATCTTGACGATGTGTGGTGAGTGCATACAATCGTCGTGAGCAACAAAGTCACATCCGAGGCAAACGTAGGTGAGACAATTCTTTCTTAATAAACCACAAACGTTGCAATTTAATGAAGATTGCCTAGGAAAAAGAGTGAGGGGATGGTCATGGATTTTTGGTTGTTCTACCAAGAAGGGTATCGGCTTCATCGCACATATTGTATGCATTTTAGCTTCACATTTGGTACAGTAATATACGAGATATACTGATTCTCTTCCACAACTTAAACAGTAAATATTATCGGGATCAGAATCTAAACAAATGGAAAGTTGGAGAGAATGTTTAGGATGGTAAGGATGTTTGATTTTATTTGGAGATTGGACGCATTCTTTGTGGAAAATTTTATCACATTTGGCACATAAATAATAGTCAGTGCCAAAATTTGATGAATAGCATATGTCGCACCCACCATCAATATCGAATTCTTTATTGTTGCACCAAAACAAAGGAAGTATTGGATGATCTACATACTTCTTATCCATACTTCGGGAGACAATGTATTCGGGAGAAGAATTGATCGGGTAATGATATAGGAAATGAGCATCCAATGAGAAGGTTACGTGGAGGACAAAGACTGGTCGAAGCTGGTGAGACGCGTGGCAAAATAACATTGGTCGAAGCTGGAGAAAGTTATGAAGATTCTTTAAAAGGCAGTCTCTGCTTCTTTTCATCATTATGCAAAATCAGAGAATTGTTTTGGTATATTTTTCTTAGAATTTCTTGTGTTGTGTGACAATGGTGGACTCATTGTTGGCTAGAGTTTTCTTGTTTGGATCCACGTTTCATGAACGTTGATTCAATTGGTGTTACTTGTTCGATTGAATTTGAGTGAGATACAGTTTTCCTGTATCAAGTGGTATCAGAGCCATTCTTCCTCGGAATCAATGGCAGAAACTAGACCGATGTTGTTGAATGAAGCAGTAGTGCGCGAGACGGAGGAGGTTTTGGGACGATTTGAACAAGCGATCGCAGAACAAAATCAAAAGCTCGACGAGAGCTTTGCTAAACTGATTGGCGCAATTTGGCTCATCTCCGATAACGTGAATGATGTATCATCGTGTGGTCATCTACAACAGAGGCGATCATCTCCGGTGGTTTCAATGACTCCAGAAACTGTAGAATCGTTGGGGTTTCGCATCAAAAAGATCCAGCGACGAATTTCGTTGGAAGAGATTGACGAGAGAAGATCTAAGGGATTATGTCTATTTTGCGAAGAACCAGAAACTCCAGATCATTATCTGCAACACAAAACTCAGGTATTTGCATGATAGATAATGATGAAGAAGATCGATTCCTTAGTGATTCAGCCTTTGTTGAGAATGAGATTGAGAAAGACTTGGTAGAAATTGATGTTGCGAAGTCTAGTGATGATAATTAACTTGCGGATGCTGGGGATGTGTTTGGATTCAACGTAGAAGTGTCAGAATCAGATTCATTGTTTAACCAGAATCATTTGATTCAAGAACAAGCCAAAAAAAATTACACGGATCTAATTCTGGAAACCAGTTTGCTTCAACAGAGTGATCTGATTCTCACACATCAGGTATCACCTCCTCACTGGGAAATTTTCCGTAGATCTTCCATGGAATCTATGGATGTTAATGATGAATCAAAGGCGTTCCACTATGTTTATGATGATTTGCCATCTGCAATTGCGAGAACACATCAATGGCAGTCGCAATTTGTCCTTGAATATGTTGGTAATATTGCATGTCAAGTGTTGATATAATGTCACAGGGAACAAGACTGTTGCAAAGTAAGAGAAGGAAAACATTTTTAAAGACTTGGTGGTTCAAGTTCAAAGCAACATCACAACCAAGAGAATTAATACAAGGAGAACCAGGGATTCAGGAGCTAAATAAAGATAATTCGTTTCCGGATTTGAGAGAGAGAGACCCGACAGGTGAAATAGTTGCATCCAATCAAAAGAGAAGCGTGTTGGGTACAAAAAATAAAGAGGAAGTGAAAGGCTACTTCTATCGTTTGCAATCGTTGGTTCTAATGAAAGGTATCACTGATAGTTCATCTAATGATGAAGAATTGATGAAAGAAGAAGATTCTTTGAAAGTATATGAAGTTGAGAGGGAGACGCAGATTTTTGACAGTGGCCAATGGCTTGGTTATGATCTGATTATTACTTACTTGGAAAACAAAAACAATTGGTCAAAGTTGAGGGTTAAGAAATGGGAAAATCTCTCTTGGAAAGAAGCTGCAAGTGATGAAAGTCGGAGCATATCAATTCGTTGTATTATGAACCTTGAAGGCACGGCGTTTATTTGCAAGAACGTGTTGGAGAGGATTCACAATGAGAATCTGGAGATCTTGGCTTGTCAGGCTAGGTTGGAGGGTTCAGTTCCGACCAAATTAATAGGAATGGATAGAAGCAAGAGACTTGGAAGCTCTGAGATTTCGTCGGCTATGGATGACTTAAGGAATCAAGAGTCTCCTGAGTTTTTTGTTATTCAATAAGTGATGAGAAATACAAAGATCAAGTTTTCCAAGCGGTGGTGGTTCAAGTACAAATATGTGACAGATGGTATAAAGAGACTGCAGATTCTGTTGAGGTACAAGTGCTGGTTGGAATTTAAAGAGTGGTTTAAAAATTGGTGCATAAGAGAGAGTTGGAGGAAGCACAAGAAAATTCAGCTGTTTACGCTAAGAATAAGAGAGGAAATGGAGGAGGATATGATGGAAAACAATCAGCAGCAAGAAGATAGTGAGTCTCTAATGCCTGCACCTAATTTTGGTACAAAGGTCTTTGAAACTTTTGATCAATACGTAATGAAAAGAGGGTCTGTTAGTGTGAATCGTGGAACTGAAAACAACCAGCCGACTCGGATGTTCTCTATGTGGGTTATACTGAATCGTCTTAGTCCATACATGGTTGTGCTTGTTAAACCTGTTGCATATGCCACTCATTTCTTGGTTGGAGTCGGTATGGATACGAGACAGTGTCGTCTTTCACTTCAAACCTACCGAGTTTGGGATCCTGGGGACTTTATAGTTGAAGATGCAACTCTATGGTGGATTCATATGTTCTGTCCCAGAGGGTGATTAAATTTTTGGGAATTTCTAACGGACTGAGCTGTGAGAAGTTTCTGCAATTATTAAAGACTAAATCGTATGAAAAGGATGGTTAACATAAAAGGAAAGACATCAACAATGGTGTTAGTTGCAGTCTTCATGAAACTATGAAGGAAACTACATGAGAGTTCTCTTTGTGTTGCAGTGACAATTTCCAAACATTGAACCTTGTGGTCAAGGTTCTTTGAAGAGGGGAGATTTGATATAGGAAATGAGCATCAAATGAGAAGGCTACGTGGAGGACAAAGACTGGTCGAAGCTGGTGAGACGCGTGGCAAAATAACATTGGTCGAAGCTGGAGAAAGTTATGAAGATTCTTTAAAAGGCAGTCTCTGCTTCTTTTCATCATTATGCAAAATCAGAGAATTGTTTTGGTATCTTTTCCTTAGAATTTCTTGTGTTGTGTGACAATGGTGGACTCATTGTTGGCTAGAGTTTTCTTGTGAATTCAGCAGATGAGATTTGGATCCGCGTTTCATGAACGTTGATTCAATTGGTGTTACTTGTTCGATTGAATTTGAGTGAGATACAGTTTTCCTGTATCAGGTGAGTGATAGAATAACAGTCTTCATTAAAAGTTCGTGGAAAAGGGCATGAAAATAGTGGTTCGTGGCAGGCTGCTTCATCAGACAAAGCATCTGAGGTAGAATTGTTCGCCACACTCATCACAACTAAGGCAAAATCTGAGAAATTTCAACGCAAATCAAAGTCACCAATTGACTAAATCCTAAATTAAACAAAAACAAAGCAAAACGACACATGGAATTCGAATTAAATCATAGAGAAGTGTTGAAGGATTACCTTGTATTTGTTTGGTTAAATCCACCGATGTTCTGGTATTTCTTTAGTATATTTCAGATAAGATCATATAAAATGATTTGTTCTTAACATTTTTTGCACTATAAATAAGCCATCTTCTACTTCTAATCATTTATCCTTGACGTAAAAGCAAAGTGGATTTTGTCTTTTCTTATAGTTGTTATACTAGGATCGGATCCGCGGTCCACCGCGGGGAATATTAGTTTACATACGTTGTGTTTAATATTGTGAGTGTTTTTAGTAGAGCGAATCGTATAGTATACTTATAAATATTCATAATAAAAAATTGTAGAAAAAATGTTAAATTGTTTATAAATAAACTCATCGTATTAATTATGATTTATAAAATAGAATTTTGTGTTTTAGAATTCTAAAATTAGACGATTCATGGGAATTAGAGCAGTCACTTTAGGTCAAAAACCGCGGATCGAGCCCAAATCATCTCAGTGTGGGGCAGAATTGGGAAAATATATTAAACCCGCAAATAAGCGGACCACATGGTTTAATTCGCAGTGGGTCATAGGTTTAATGGGTTTTTATCCGCGGGTTGGCGGATCAGCTCGCATGTTAGTATTTATTGATAAAATTATAATTTATTCAACATATGGTAATTTAAACAAACTTTTAGTAGTATTTTTATTTATTTATTTATTTTAGTAGTATTTTAAATTTTGGTTACTTTAAAATTATTTAAACAAAATCCACAGACAATCCCGCAAATCCGCATACATTCGCGGGATGGGTTTGTATTTCATATATGCTATATGCGGGTCGTACGGACCGACTAACTACAAGTCAAAATATTTTTTGCCTTTTCGCAAAACGGGCTTAACGGGACGAATCAATTCGCTTTGACAGCTCTAATGGGAATATTATTTAGTCATACAACAAAATGAAGTTTGGACATAGGAATAATATAATATGTATCCTTATTTGTTAGATGAGAGATTAAAGATGAAATATAATGATTAAAAATTAATTATTAATTTTCATGATTCACAAAATTTAATAAATACTTATCATCTTGTTGAATAATTCTAAATGATATTCAAGAAATCTTTATAAATTGAAAATTAAACTTCTTTGGTAAGCTATAGGTATGAAAATACCTTAATTTTAATTTAATCTAATTAAATTAAAATATCAATTCAATTTATAAAACAGATGGGTTATTTGTAATAAATTTTCTAGAAATCTTTAGAAGCAAGTAAGATATCTTTCAATTAATGATAATTGGCTAAAATGAGGGAAATTAATGACAAAAACGTTGATTGCTATGCAATTAGTTCCAAAAATATATGAACAAATTTATTATACGTAATTAATGTATAATATTGTTCGGAATATGCTTTTATAATTAGTTACCATAAGTACAATCAGATTTTATTTGATTTCCATAAATATTTGATTTTAATTCGATTATCATTATTAATTCGAATTTATATTCCAAAAAAATTTCAAAGATCCGATTTCAGAATTTCGGGTCAATTTTTTGATTTTAACCCGACCCATTTTCATTTGTACTTCTCTTTTAATAGTATAGAGATTATTTTCGTTTCAAGCATATAAAGAATCAAGTACTCATTTCTCTTTTTTTGAAATCGAAGCGAAGTTTTCTCTTTTGTATCATAAAGACTTAATAGGGAAGTGATCTTTTCTATTCCTTTTGTTTTGGTAATTTTCAGTGTTTTCACGTCTGACCCGGACCGCCCGGTTAACCCGTGATCCGAACACTACTTTGGTTTGAGTTTAATGTTAGTACCAGGCAATTTCAAAACCGAAAAAACTTACAATAACCCGCGATCCGGTGAATGGTTGAATGGCCGGGTTTGGGTTTCAAAATTTTCATTTGATTAAGGAATAAAATATAGGATTTTAGACTCTATTCAATTATTTTTAATTTAGATTTTTTTAGTTCTTCGTTTCTTCTTAAAACTATGTGTTCTTGATGGTTTAGATTAGATGAAGACTTTACAATACTGTCTGAAGAGAATGAATGGAATGGTGAGAGCGACAACCGAGATTAATTGTTTTCAATTCTCGATGTTTTATTAGTTTATTTTCGTCATTATTTTTTGTTGAACCTTAATTATCAAATTCACTGCATTTTTGAACTCTGTAAGACCTTGACATCACTTTCTTGAGAGTCTCTTGAGTCTTGATAGCCACATCATCCTCATTTGGTATTTTTCCCTTAAAAAGATACAGAATTTAAAACCTTTTGCATACATGGGGATCAAAAATTGATGTAAACCGAAAAGGGAATCTGGTCAAAATACGATCTGGCCCATGATTGATGATCCAAAAAAGGTCCCCATCTTAAGAAACCATAAAAGGAGTCTCAGGTAAAAAATCTAGGACTGTTAGGTGTTACCATCTCAGGTTGAAAATTTAATCGCATTTATTTCTCGCGTTTACTATACAATCCCATAGCTGCCGTCCTCTTCTCTGTTATAACCATAGAGTTTCTCCGACTGATGTGCCCTACCAATTAGCTTGTATAACAAGGTAACGGTTTGTAACGCAAGTCAAGTCAAGGTAACGGTTTGTAACGCAAGTCAAGGTCGTTTACTATACAATCCCATAGCTTTCTTATGTACGATGGAACATGTCTCCATTACACCAGTGAAATTGGCATAGGAATAACACAACATGCAGTTCTTATACCAGGTGATCTCCATTTTTTTTGTGCAGTACAAGTATCAATAACAACTCTGGCAGCGACTTTGATGCACTCTCTACAATTATCAACAGCGACCTGACCTTAGAGAGGAACATGCCGTACACGACATCGGAACCATGTCCTGATGAGGCCGTCTGGAACCCTGAGGCATAGTGTTGTGAATCTCTCATTCTTGTAAGTTTGTTTCTTTTTTTTTTGTTTTGTGTAAAACGTTTTCTCTCTTAAAACATTCTCATTCTCATTAATCATCTTCATCTTACAACACACATACTTATACAACATACATCACACATTTGCTTCTCATCAATCACCTTCCTCTGATTCTTGTTATCTCTTTCTTTTGTAGAAATAATCAAAGAGTCAATTCTCAACACATAGAATGAGTCCGAAGAGGTGGAGAGATTCGAGAGAAGCGAGTTTAGATTTGATTTGTATATGCTACCGCTTGTGAAGTTCTTTGCGTCTAAACGGGTGGTGTTGGCAATAAGTTAACCGCAAGAAAACTGAAAAGGAAGATAGAACAAGTAATGATGCAAATAGATTTGGAGAGATCCAGTTATATCTAATATCTTCTTCTACAATTGTTTAATGTATGCTCTCTTTTGCTACGTAGGAAAAGAAAGACATCAACATGGACTCAAGAGAGAATTGCTCAACAACGAAACCATTTCTAATTTATTTCTTGATTTGAACCCATTGTAGTGTTACATCTCAGACCGCATTCGCCTTGTTAAAACGCCTACACCGTCGTACTGCTGACCCGAACCAACCGCTTTCATAAATGTAAACTGGTAGCAAAGTCTCCCTACGTTTCTCAACTCTCATCTCTAATCCAACATTCTCTATAACACCTTCATCGCCATCTCCAATTCCCTTCAATTCAACCACCACAGTATGATTCCAATCTCAACGCTGCCTGATCCTCCACAACGGATGGAGAAGAACACGACGAAGACATCGAAGTTATCCGAATGGAGACGCCGAGGGTGATAGAATTGGATCGTCGTTTAGATCATCTGCTTCGTAGCTGAGACTTAGACGGAAACTCTCCCATCCTAATTAATCCCCACGACATGGCGTAATAGTAGCATTAGAGTCGAAGCTTAACAAACCACAAAGTCGGATATATATGAATTAAAGATGAAACAAATTACATCTTTAACAACAAAACAAAAAAAAGAAGAAGCAAAATTACATGAATATAGAGAGATAACTATATAATTAACTTACTGAATTCTCATCTTCAGAGGAAACTAAACAAATCACTAGCACATTTCATAGAACACGCTATGCCTTCGTCTCCCGAATATATTTTGCCCTGACAAGGGTACTTACAAGAATCACAAAGAGGTCGAGAAAGATTCTTTTTGCCAAGAACTTTGACTTCCTGCGGCCTCCCTTTCCATTTCAAAGTTTGACCAGGTTTCACATATGGCTCGTCATCAAATAAGCAAGCAATGTGAAGAGTAGTGCAGCACTCGTTGCACCAATAGAAAAACTTAGTGCCTGTATCTTCTAAATTACGCTCACACACCTCGCACCAATCTTTATTACATACCTCTTCTCCCCACAAAATTGTGAGATAGTGTCTGTCATGCGTATACTTTGCTTTATATGGTAACGTCGCACACTTCATACATACAATAAAATCGCATTTGATGCAATTTAATGGTATAAGACTCTTTGATGTGCACACTTGACAAATGGGGTTTTCTCCTGGGCCTAAAGCTAGGAACAATGGATGTTTATGACCTTGGAAGTTAAACGGTTCACAAATTGAAGCACATCGTACGTCTAGATCGAAGGTGCATTCCTTTCTCGGACACATATAGACAAAGCCACCACAACAACGATCACAAGCATTGCACCTGAAGGTATCCGTATCATATTTACTCACGCCACTCAATGTAAGTGGATGAGGATGTAACGCATGTTGTATTCTTCGCCGATTTTTTGCACATATTTCGTGGATGGTGAAGTCACATTCCACACAACAGTAACGATTATCCTCATAAATAGGAAGGACACATGCTTGACAAATCTTCTTTTCATCATATAGTATGCTAACCTCAAGCCGAAGATGGTGGTCATGAAGGAAATGAAGTATCACTCCTTCAGATATTATCTCGAACGGCCCGACATCTTGGGTTATATCATCTTCTTCTGGTACACCTTCGAGCTCAACTCCGTCCCACACATCTATTCGTAGAGCACATCTTACGTGAACAGCATAATCATCACACTTGTTACAAGTATATGCACCATAATCACCATCTATACTTTTACGACAAACTCCACAAGACCATTCTCTGGATTGGAGAGAAGAAGTGTAGGAGATGCGATGATGGTGACGTGATATCTTGATGATGCGTGGAGAATACATACAATCGTTGTGAGCGACAAAGTTGCATCGAAGACAAACGTAGGTGGGATTTTTTCTGAGTAAACCACAAACGTCGCAAGTTAAGGAAGCTTGTCTGGGAAATAAAGTGAGGGGATGGTCATGGCTCTTTGGTTGGTCTACAACGAAGGATATCGACTTCATCGCACAAATTGTATGCATTACAACATCACATCTGGTACAATAATATAACAGATATGTTGCTATTCTTCCACAACATAAACACTCTATCTTGGGAGCCCTTGCCGAACGATAGGAAAGTTGAAGAGAATGCTCCGGATGATAAGGGTGTTTGATTTCAGATGGAGATTGGACGCATTCTTTGTGGAAAATTATATCATAAGGGTGTTCGACACAGACATAATAATCTGTGCCAAAATTTGAGCCCTTGCATGCGTAGCAACCACCATCAACATCGAAGTCTTTATTGTTGCACCAAAACAAAGGGAGTATTGAATGATCATCTTCCTGTTGAATTCTTGTTGTAGAGATGACGAATTCCGGGGAAGAACTGATCGGATAAGTATCATCGTAATTGGAATCGGACCATGCTTTGAAATATCGTGGTATAGGACATAAGAAAAGTGGTTGAAAAGAAAGGTCATCGATGGCTGTTTCACCAAAAGGGGAGGTTGGGGTTTGTGTTTGTGGAATGGGTTGGTATTTGGGGTGATGATATACCAGAGATAGTTCACCATCGTTTTCCACTTCATGAAATCCACCGATCGAATCCATGGCCACTCCACCAGTAAGCTGGATTGTTTTTTTTTTCTCTCTTTTATTTTGGGTGAAAGATATTTTGGTTGTGATATGATGTTCGGTTTCTGCTTCTCTCACATATATACATACAAACAAATCAAAGTCGACTAGTCTTGCACATGGTTTTCGTCCTTTCTAAAATTATCTGTTGATTAGATATTTTTTATTTATTTCGTGATCAATAATTGAGCCAGTTGAGATTTTTTTTTTTTTTTTTCTGTCAAAGATAATGCATTTGAGATCTGTTCTTGTTGTGAACATTTAGTATGGTGGGGCTCACGTCCAATAACGTTGTATCAATTGATTAATTAAAAAAGACTTCTGTAATAAATTTACCAGTAAAAAAGTCTTGGTCTTTGATTAACTGAAAAATTATACTTACTAAAGTATTTGGCATTGCATTACAGCTAGAAGGCTAAAACCAATTGATTAGTCTCTAAAGATTAAAAACTAAAACAAATTAAAAGACGTGCATATAGTTTACCATCGTTTTCCAGCTCATGAAATCCACCGATCGAATTCATGGCTACTCTCTCAATGAATTTGATAGTTTTGTTCTCTCTTTTATTTTGGATGAGAGATTTTTTGGTTCTCTCAATGATTTTGATAGTTTTCGTGTTGTGATAGGATGTTCGTTTTCTCTGCTCTCTCACATAAATACATACAAACAAATCAAAGTTGACTAGTCTTGCAGTCTTGCACATGGTTTTCGTCCTTTCTAAAATTATTTGTATATTTTTTATTTATTTCGTGATCAATAATTGAGTCAGTTGAGATTTTTGTTTTTTTTTTTTCTGTCAACTTGAGACACTTGGTTAATCGGCAACTAAAAAATGATTTTCATTCACTGTTTACAGCTCGATGCAGTCTTTATTTTCAATTGGATTTGAGTTATGGTCTTTCATAAATTTTTCGTATAAAAAAACCAATGTGTCTTCTCTTACTTATATTATAGTTATATATTTATATATGCAGTTTTTAGAGTTAATATTTCAGCTATTTGAGATTTAAGTATCATTTCTATATTTGTTTGTGTAATGTGTAGTATATTTCTAACACTTAACGATTCTGTGATGTAAATTACATATTTTTCTTAGAATGTAAAATACAGGTTGTTTTTTTGGGGCGTTAAAATACACTTTTCACAACTGTATGATAGTCTTCAAATTTAATGGGATTATTACTAATTTTTCTTTTGTACAAAGTAATTACAACTGATATTGTTAACAAAGTAAAATTTAAGGATAAATTTGAAGGTAGCGTTTAAAAAAAAAAAAAACAAGTGTCCATTACCATTGGCGTAAGTATTTTAAAAACTGACGATTAGGTCTAATTAATAACTTTCAAGAACCAATTGGTGAGGTAGATAATTTTATCCAAGCTCATGACAAAATAAGAGGATCACAACCAAAGGAGCTACTCATTTTCTGCGGGCATAATTAGTATAAACCGAATTTGTTTTTTTTTTTTTTTTTTTTAATTCGGCCCTGCACACTAAAAATAATATCATTTTATATTGTCATTCTCAATTATTTCTTGATTTAGTGCAATCTTTAGCTTAATCATGTGTTTTATATACTGGAATTATTACCCTGATTTTTTCACAATATTTTTAAATCATCACATTGGATTTTGACATCCACACAAATTATTCATTTATTAAAATCATTTAGAGTTTCACTATGATTGACAAAAACTGGTATTTTTTTTTTATTGTAAAATTCCATTGTTCTAAAATTTATAACATACCTTTCAATATTTCATCAGCAAATATATTTGTAATTTATATACACAATCTATACAATGCCAGTTGACAATAAAAAAAATGAAAACCTACATAATTGCAAACAAAAAAAGATGCAATCAGTATAATTGATAGAGTCAAACAAAAATGAAATCCTAGTTTAATTAAATCACATATACTTATTTAATTTTTTTTTTTTGTCAACAGCTTTTAATTAAAAATTCAAAAGAACCATTCCTGAGGAATGTTGTTTACATATGTGATGTGATGCGGTTCGGTGCGAACTTTTCGCGCCAAAATATCCGCTTTTACATTTGCACTTCGAGGGATTAAAGATAAAGAGAAGCTTGAAAATTCCTCCTTGTCTCTTTGTAAATCTTCTAAATACACTGAGAAGGCCGGCCATTCGGTTGGGGAAGACACCATCTTCACCAGGTCTGAACAGTCTGTATAAAAAGCTACTTCTTGATTGTCGGCTCCAATCATACACTTCATCGTCCAGAGAAGAGCTTCCACTTCTGTATGTAGTGGAGAAAGACTTCTTCTGATGTTGGCAGCTCCCATAGTTGGCGTCTCTCCATTTGATGATGTGCAGAACCACCCTGTTCCTGAAAATTTATCAGTCTCTTTCCATGATCCATCCACGAAACACCGATATCCAGAGTAGAGATTATCATGAGAAAATTCTCTCACTCGAGCTCGAGATTCACTGTTTAAAGAACCATGATTTTCATTCAGAAGCTCTAATTGAGCTAACTGCCACGAATGGGCCTCTTTTTCCGCTAAACATAAAACCTCTAATGGGTCTTTATCCACATTTTCAAAGATCTTTTCATTTCTAGCTTTCCAAATATATCAAATTATCCATGGATATGGAGAAGAGTCTACCTCTGAAGGAATTCTCCAAAAAAGATGATCCAAATTTGTGTAAATTGAGGTCGTAGGGAAAATTCCCGGAACCGTAGGAATCTGAGAAAGTGCCCAAATTTGTCTCGCTGGGTGGCATTCAAAAAGTGTATGGTTAATTGATTCCTCTATCGCACCGCATCTGCCACATCCTGTTTCACAATTTATTCCTCTTTTCCTCAGATTTTCTGTAACCGGTACACATCCCGATAAAATTTGCCACAAAAAATGACGTAACTTAGGCGGACACTGCACTTTCCAAGTATATGCTTTTAGAGATTTAAAATCCGGGCCAATAAACGATAAATTGCCTTCCAAATTCTCTAGCCGCGCCGTATGATAACCAGATTTAACTGTGTATTTTCCGGATTTAGTGAAATGCCACCCGAGGGTATCCTCCAAAGGTGGCGCACCCAAAGGCAGGGCACTAATCAACACGACATCTTCCGGATCAAAGAGCTCTTGCAAGAGATCAATGTTCCAAAAATTTGACCGACTGTCGATAAGATTTTTAACTTTCAAAGATGTGTCAATAGTTGAACCATTACTTTTTGCTGGTCTCGGGAGTTGAGTTGGAATCCATGGGTCCTCCCAAACTGAAATGGACGACCCAGAACCGACTCTTTTAATAAGTCCTTTATTAACCAGAGATCTAGCTGAACATATACTCCGCCATCCATATGATGGAGAGTATGACTTTATATTTTCCAAAGGATTGGATTTCTGAAAATACCGTCCTTTAAAAACCTTCGCGAAAAGAGAATCTGGAACCGTAATCAACCGCCATAATTGTTTCGCTAATAAGGCTGAATTAAAATCGTCTACATTCCGAAATCCTATTCCTCCTTCCGATTTACTGTTACACAATTTATTCCATGCCATCCAGTGCATACCTCTAGAATCACCATTTGAACTCCACCAAAAATTAGCAACCGCACTAGTTAGTTTAGAAGTGATTGTTTTTGGTAGTCTGAAGCACGACATGACATAAGTTGGTAGTGCCGCAGCTACCGATTTAATCATCACTTCTTTCCCACCTTTCGATAAAAATTTTGCCGACCATCCATTTATTCTAGTCTGTAATCTATCTCTAACAAACGAGAAAATTTTTGTCTTCGAGCCATCTAGACTTTCCGGCAACCCGAGATAAGAACCCATACCACCAATGTTAGTGATACCCAAGGTAGATTTAATTTCTTCCTTGATATCAACATCTACCTTATGTCCAAATTGAATCGAAGATTTTGAAAAATTTATCTGTTGACCCGAAACCGCTTCATATTTCTTTAAAATCTCCAAAATTACCCCACATTGATCTTTGTTAGCCTTGCAAAAAAATAAACTGTCATCCGCAAATAACAGATGTGAAACCGAAGGGCTGGCTGTTGCTATTTTGATACCCGTAATTAATTTTTCCCGTTCTGCTTTCCGTATATTCGCAATTAGCATATATTTATTTAATTCTAAGCTAATATATAAAGCATTCCCACTTGGAAAGCTTGACTTGAAAGTAGTACTGAACCACGACTTTAATTTGTTTAGATCAATAAAGTTGTGCTTTTACGTATTAAATTAGCTTATGATAATAAGCCCACTTGTAGTGTGTTTCCTAATATTTTTAAGTTGTTAAATTTCTAACGTATGTAAAGTTATACAATACCATATCGGAAACTGGGAAGTAGTACAAATAACAACTAAATTTGTTCACATGCAAAATTTATTAGAGTATCTGTAAGAAGTATACATGGAAGAATTGGAAATTAACTGACACATTTGTCTCACTATTTACACAGTATATTGGCAAGTAAAATTACATCATTATCCTTGTTTTTTTTATTCTTCATCTTTCTCTTCTCTTCATCTTTTTTTTCTCTTCATTTTTCTTCTGAATCTTCTTCTCATCATTTACTTTTGTGTTTGTTTTTTCGGGTCTATCGAAGAATTGATTGGATGGGTCGTCTAATCGTGGTTGTGATTTTGGAATCCGGTAGAGTGGTTTAGTTCTAACGATGAAAGTGATTATAATGATATTAGTTCAATTTCTGATAGTGAAAATGGTTTATGACACGATAATATGAAAATTGAGGGTGATAATTATACGTTGGCATTGATGATTATATGGTTGCTGTGAAAATGGGGGAAGAAAAGGAAACCATGGGAGGTGATACCGACATAGAAGAATATGGTGGCGGTGATGATTTTATCCGTAGCGGTGGTAATAATTATGGTGTGGGTTTGTGATGGAGAAAAAAATGGTTCTAAACTGATGGGGTGAGATAATACGGCGGAGGTGTGGTGGTTGAAGATTACGACAATGATAGCTTTTGATCAGATTTAGATTGGTTAACAATCAAATTACCGAGTTAACTAAACCTTATCTAGAGGTAGGTGATAAGAATAATCTTATTGGACAAAATTCATATTTTACACGTTATAGTAACTCGTTATTTTTTTGTATGTGATATAATAAATGAGTTAAGACGGTAAATATAAATTTGTCACATAAGTTATAACTTATCGCGCTACAATATGACTTAACATGATATATTTATAAATTTATCGATATAAATATTTTGTTATCGTGTTAACCTAGTAAATATTACCGAAGTATTTGATAAATAGTGAAGATAAAAATAAACGTTGATATCTAATACATATATATCTAGTTCAGACAAGAAGCGACGATATCTATTTTATTACGCTGTTAACTAATTTGTTATATGCAGAGGGGCATTTTTGTCCAACTTACATAAGTTGAGGAGAGAGAACTAATAATATAAAAATTAATGGTATATTCTTAATTTTTGAATCATCTGTGTATTTAGATTAAATTCACATTAAAAAAATTAAAAGATGCGAAATACTCCTTTGAGATTTGTTCTTGTTAGCATTTAGTATGGTGGGGCTCACATCCAATAACGCTGTATCAATTGATTAATTAAATAAGACTTTGTAAGTCTTGGTCTTTGATTAATTGAAAAAATTAGGCATTGCATTACAATTGACAGCTAGAAGCTGTAGAAGGCTAAAACCAATTTGATTAATTAGTCTCTAGAGACTAAAAATGAAAACAAATTAAAAGACGTGCATATAGTTGACTTTAGATTAAGAAGACGTTCATGATTAATGATAAACCAACTAAAAATAATTGTTATGAAACATTCATTAAAACAAAAGATTATGTTATGAACATTTTCTTAAGATTTTCATGTTTTGAAAATAAATATTGCTTTCCAGATAATCAAAAACTTTATTCTGAACTCCAATCCTAAAAATTAGCAAACCCAAAACGAAATTTTTACCGTCTTCATTGACTACGAAATTTTTACCGTCCTTATTGACTACAAAACACTACAGGAAACGAAGGTATTCGTAGCGTCTGAAAACCGCTATCTAATGATACTACAGCGTTGTAGAAAGCGCTATGTCTACGCCCGTTATAATAGATCCGATACTTTACGTAGCGTTTTTTAAAAATGCTATTGAGATATTCAATAATATAGCAGTTTTTTGTATGCAATCTTTAAATATACAATAGCAAATATTGTCTGCTATGAATATATTTAATTATAGTATTTTTTTAATTTTACAATAGCAGCTTTGTTATACGTAGACAATTTTGTGTATTTATACAGGGTTGTATTTATACAGTATTTATACAATTTATATACATCATTAATTTTAAATTTTGAATTTCGATGTTTTATTTTTGAATTTTAAAAGCTCTAGTTTTTATTTAAAATGCATAAGAAATAAAAATACACGGATGCCTAATTGGCCTAGTTTTTGAAATGAAGCCCAACACATATGGCAGAACTAATCTGATTCTTAAAGAGACAAAGGATGGATCGAAGCCCATTAGGGAGGTGAGGAGATCGGAGGAAAGTCACTCAAATTGTTGTGAGCGACAAAGTTGTTGCCAGCAATTTACGAAGCTTCTCGACTCATGAATATGCAATCGATGTGATATCTGATTAAACTATCAGAGATTTCTGTGAGGCATCGTTGAGAACAACAATATTTGTACATCATTATTCATAATTTATGAAGCCAAAGAACTTGTTCACGAGGGATGATGAATCCTAACTTTTAGAGACAAAAACTGATCTCTTTAGCTTCTTGGCCGGTTGAATACACTAGGAAGTGTGCTGCATTGGTTTAAACAAGAGAAAATTCAATGCTTGTTAGCAACTTTTTAAATCACTAAGATCACACAAATGAAGTGAACATCGACCTCGTTATAGAAAATTATAAAATTAAGCACTGAACAATGTTTTTACCTGAATCCCTAAGATCGATCAAAAAAGAAAAGACAAGCTTGATCCATAGGTCGTTAAGATTATTTTTGTGTTCTATCTGATACTTATACAACTAACAGACAGTCTTCGACTTCATCAGAACAAACAGATTCAACTTGTAAGAAACCAAAACATAAGAAGAACAAATGAAACCTCACATCTGTATAGAAATTAGATCCCGCATTGTTGATGTTCTGGGTTCGATTAAAACCTTCAAACACCAAATTCAAATTAACACCTCACGTCATTTACTTAAAGCACCAATTCTACTTAAATCTAGACGTTTAGACGGACACAAGTTTGTTAAGTAAAGAGGGAATTAGTAAACACACCATCAGATTTATAGAAACAAGAAGGTGAAAAGTCTCGCATGTGGCTCCAAGGATGCTTCCAATGAAGCATTTATTTGTTAATTGATAAATAGTAAAATATGTTCCAAGATTAAACCCTAAAAGATTTAGGGTATATGATTTAGTGTATAGGTTTCAATATTGAAACATAGTTTTTACTATATATCATTTAACGAAATAAAATACAAAAATTACTAGATCATGACCCGCACGTACGTGCGGGGTTTCATATTTTAAAAAATTTCTGACAAAATTTAATTTAATATAGACTATTTTGTTGTTTTTATGATATATATTTTAGTGTATTAGATCCACGTACGTGTAGAAATATTTTTATAGAAATTGTTATATAGATTTTAAAAATATAAAATATTTTGTTGTAATAGTAAACTTCGTAATAATATAAATATTATAAAGTTAGAGTAATGAACAAAAAATTCATTTGCGTTAATGCATAATTATATTTTAAGATCCGGACTAATTTAGTTGCAAAAGTTAAATGGTGTTACATTTTTATTTTCTTAACTAATCAAAACAGTTCTAACAGTTTGACTACATATGTTAAATAGGATATGAATTCGGTTTTAGTTTGGGTTATTTCATATATATTAGCAAGGCGTAACTATTTTGGAACATGAAACATATCCCGTCCGGTATATGTCATAAATTCTTTGTCTCATAACATGTCAGGTATATGTAAAATAAAAATATTACGGTCTCATATCTGTCATAAATAGAGTATGTGTAACTGAAAACGTATGTACAGGGTTATGTGTATAAACAAATTTATTTTATATAGTGCTCAAAACCCGAACTCATACCAGTTGGGTATTTAGTTTGATTTTTAATATATGTTCCCCTCCCATCTCGTCTCGTAATTTCTATTTCCATTTTATTCTATTAAAATTATGTTCCAAATTCTTGTTTACTTACCTTTAAATCTATATATACATTTCTGGAACACTTTTAGTAAATAAATCCTGGAGTTGGGAAGTATTTACAAAAAATGCCATTGGTTGGGTCGGGTTTTTTAATAACGATTGACCCGGTTTGTTTCAATCGGATATTTCCGAAATTTTTGCCTCCAACAATAAATGAATTTCGTTATAAATTAAAAAGACAATATACAAAATAGATTTAGGAAATCAAAACCAATTCAATATTGTCTCAATCGGATATTTCCGATTCTTTTTCCTGTAACAATAAATGAAATTCGTTATTAATTATGAGACAATATAAGCAACAGATTTAGGAAATCAAAACAAACTCAATATTAATTAACTTCCTTAAATTAATCCACATAGATATTAAAAAATATCTCCTAAGAAACGATTTGCTATATTGCCATAAAATAAGCATCCTAACAAAGCTAAATTACGTTATCACAATTCCATATCTCCCAACTTGTCTTTTCCAATATAATTAATTCAAAATAATAAATCCCACGAAATCTTGAATGTGCACCATCCAAAATAGATATATAGATTCCAATATCTACCTAATAATCTTTAACATTAATCTTTAACAAATCAATTTCGTAATTCTAACCGCATAAAACTGGTATATTCCTAACAAACCTAATATATTCAAAGATATTTTCAGTTTCATCACAAACTTCAGACATTTTTTGCAATGAGAATTTTTAATTATCACTACCTCTGCTACACAAAATTGATAAATCTTATAGCTAACACGTTTTAAAGAAACTAACCTTTATATGCTATAATGAATATAATGCTCCATGAAATTCAATTTTATAGATACGTCCTAATGTATGTTTTTTTTTTTAAAGATCAACATACTTTACTTTTTTTTTTTTGACAACAATATAATGAATAAATAAATAAATTAATAAAATTGGTTCAGTTTAATAATCAAAGTTTTAAAAAATTCGAGTTATAATTATAACTATTATACAAATCATAATTTTCATCCCTAATATTTCCATTTCACAACAAAACTATCTATATTGAAGAGATATATTATAAAATTTACAAACAAACAAAATGAGAAAACCAAATAATATTTACCTTCAATTACATAAATTAACAATATAATTAACAAACTATGACTGCTACATTATACAAAAAATTAAATATATATATATATATATAATATAGAGAAATATATATATATATATATATATATATATATATATATATATATGTTGTTTTTGGTCTAAGCGTTACTTACTGAACTATTCATTAAAGTTACTATATTTTATACCAGTAAACCTAAAACACAATTAATATACTCAAAACTATTAATATAGATATATGGATGATACATTTCAAAAATACAAATAATATATTATCCTCTCTATTAATAAACAAAACAAATTATATTTTAAATTTTTTTTAAAAAATTATAGCCCCGCGGTGTACCGCGGGTTCAAATCTAGTACCATACAATATTACAATACATACTGTGAGTTTTGCGGATTAATATGTATGCTGTTAAAGTTACAAATATATTTTAACAAATTTATTAATGTTTCTAGCTAAATTTTGCATATTTTTCTTTTCATTGTTTAATCATAATTAATTAGATTTTTTGGACTAAAATTAAAATTTGAGATAAATCTATAAAAGGGATATGCTATTACTGCATAATTTGTTTTGAATGCAAAATATATAATTAGTTCACATTATTTCGAAAACTATGTGCAATATATTATGGAGTGGTTTAAGGAAGATCCAATTGAGAAGAAAAAAAAAAGAAAACACAAAATATATCTAAATTAATATGTACAATCTATTGTTTAGATATTTCCGAAACTTGCTCTAAACGAATGCCCAATATCGTTTTTTTAGAAATTGTGAAATAAAATTTTGTTTTATATTTCAAAATTTGTGAAAATATTATAACAAAACTGAGTCTTTTGTATTTAATTTTTTTTACGAAATTTCAAATTCAATCTTAAAATCTTCCATTGATAAAAAAATTTTAAACTTAGTATTCTTAATTTTGAATTAAAATGGTATTATTTTTATTTTTATTTTTGATATAGAATAGTTTATTAGGATTGGTAAAATTTTAGTTGGATATCAAATTCTTAGTTTTTCAATTCTCATTGGTTAACAACTTTTTCGAAAATTTTTTTAAATTTTCGTCCATAATTAATAAGAGAGAGAAAGTGAGTTTAATTTTTTGTAAACTAATAATTACTTTAAAGAATTTTATTATTTTTTATTTAAATATATTATTTTGTGATTACTATTGTATCTTTAATGAATTTATTTAAAAACAAAAATCAATGGCATTTTTGTAATACTTTACACTTTATAAGGTTATTTATGTTTGCGTGCTTCCCAATTAATAGTATAGATTAAAAACTTATCATATATATATATATATATATGATTATGTATATTTAACAAATGAATATTTGAACGTTTGAGAATATTATTATTTGATTATGTATAATTAACAAATGAATGTATGAGAATATGAACAAATTAAAATGTATTGAGAATTTTTAATTTATGTATATATGTAATTTAGCAACGTCATATATTTGTCGTTTTAATTCTGTATTATTTAGCAATGACATATTGGAAGAGAAAATACCTTATGGAATTATAACCATCAAAACACATTATCGAGACATATCCGAATGGAGTAGTCATTGAATCAAGTATATAGAGGTTAACATTCCAAAGTAAACAAAATATACTAACATAGTAGTCATTGAATCAAGTATCAAATTCTAAAGCTAAAATTCTAAAAGTAAAGCCACATATTCTTCCTTTCAGTTTGAACCTGCACATAGATAACAGTAGAAAAACAACAGAGTCAATAAAATTATTGAACATAAAGAGTTTATGTAGAGGAGGCGAAACATATAAACTGAGCACAGGACATACTAAACAGTTTCCAATTGCCATTTATCGCATGAAAGCCTGAGATTCAGAGCTGTAGAGAAGGAAAAAAACTCACCTAATAAAAGCAGCGTCCTTAGAGAGATGACAAGCACACAACATGAGACATTCCTTAAAAATTGTTAATGATCCCACAGTCTATACTCCACTTCTTGTCCTGCGGTTAACAATCACACAAACTCAAACTAATCCAGAACTAGAATGCTCAATTGCAAGACTCAGAAGGCAGCAGCTTTCACAAATTCTCAATTGGGACTGACTATACGAAACAAGTTATAGATTTGAATAAGCTCTCCGGTTGAATTAGAGAAGACACATTCGCCACTATACTCTAAACATGTCCTTGCTTTGGTGAGCAGAGACGATTCATATGCAAATGACTTCTGATCTTAGCTGAAACATAGATTTACATATACACAGGTGTTAGATATCACAACATAAGCCCTGAGAACAATAAATTCGCGAACAAATGGATAGTGAATCATCAGAATTTGCATACCTAATCCAGATTGCAAAATCAAAAAAATGTCATCAGATGCCGAGGTAAGCTGTTGGTTCTGGGCACGGTTGACGAAGATGGTGAAATATCTCACCTGACTCTTAGATGGTGCCTAAGTTACTCCGTACCTCTGGTTGAAATTTTATTCGCCACTAGCGGCAACGAAGTTTTTGGTAATTTTAAAGGGGGAAGGCTTGCAGACCACTCATTTCATTCATCTGCGCTCCAGCAGCAGCAGATGGTTCTGCTTCAGCATTAACTGATCTGCCAACATTGATGACACCGGGAAAGCTTTGAACAAAACACAGTTTCAATCACTAAAGCTAAATATCCGAAGGGAATAATCATTGAATCAAGTATAAAGAGACGAGCAGAGTTAAACTCTATACAAACAAAGCAATTCAATTTCAATTCCACAACAACACTAGTCCAATGTAATCCCTTGAATATATTCTTCTTGTGAACTAGAACAGCAGAGAATCCATCAACATGATGCTTACAAAGATCTGAACAAATCCAAACACAAATCGAATTCAATAACAGAACAACACCAAAACAAATTTGTTAAGTAAGATTCGCGGGGTTTTGTGTGTCTACCTTTGAGCTTTTTATGAATAGGAATTCAAGCTTGTGAGGTCATGACGGATGAATTAGAAATCGAACTGGAGATGGTAGTGATCTGAGAGAGAAAGAGGAAGATGGTAATTGAATGGAGAGTTTTATATGCAAAACGCACTTGAGATTTAAAATTATCAACACAAATCTTGAATCTGTGACAATTCTTCATCAAATGCAAAATTTATACTTTTGCTTACTAGCCAGTCATGACCTGCCCAACGCCTAATGAACAAGCTTAAAGTTTGCAAACAATAGATAAAGCATCAGACCACAATCCAATTCCAATTCTATAGTTAATTTCACATGAATCTTGAGAATAGAAAACAAAGAACAATCAAAAGCTAGACCTCGTGGCTGGATTGATGCGAAGAAGAAGAAGACGGCTTCGAAGAAGAACCATCGCCTTGTCACCAGAATCAACGACGGGAATCAAAAGCTCTCGATCGCTTTCACGAGATCACGATTGGCCGTCACAATCGCCGGCTTCTCGTCTCCCAGCGCCGAAAAATTCAATTCGGAGAAGGGAGAAGAGAGAAGAGAGAAGCGAGAAGAGATGGCCAAAGGGTTCCACGAGTTTAACATAATCCATCTATTTCTCCTCTAATTATTTTTTCTCAACTTTTTATTTTGCTACTATTTAGAAAATTTTTGGAGGTAATGAAATTTTCACTTTTCCGGTTATTCCTACCATAACGTTTTTTTGTCATCTATGCTATAATAAAACCAAAAATTAAGCGCGACTGTGAATTATTTTTGCGGTTTTCCTACCATAGCGTTTGCCTTTTCGCAAACGCTATAATTGTTTTCTCAAAACTCAAGTTATAGCAGAATCATCAAAAATGCTATATTGTACTGCTATTAATACCTTCATTTCCTGTAGTGAAAATTAGTTAGGCTCAGACCCCTCTGTGTCAATTAGAAGGTTATCACCGGAGATTGCATCCATTATAGTGCAAATTTGCTCAAAATTTAACCAATATCTTTAGGTCTTCCAAGTTGCTCCGACGCAACTCTAACCTATGCATCTAGTATCAGATCTTCCCGACTGTTGTTCACATTTCACTTAGTAAAGAGAAAACTCCAATGGATACAGAGGCTCCTCAAAACGGCATCGTTCCTTCCGCCCAGCCTGCAAAATTACAAAACGACGTCACTTTTACAAACACATTTAACGGGTTTTCTTCACCTGCAAGAAACGAAAAAACAAAGCAATGCAGCAAAAGAAGTGTGAGTTGTATTATGGATCCAATCGTCCTCAATAACCGATTTGATCCTCATGTATCGTGTATCATGTGCTGAGAGCACATTTGGCAATTAGGATTTTAGATGTCTCAAATTATAACAAACACCGTTAAGCGAAATCAAAACAAAAGTTTTGATTGTTGCACAATTAAGATTATATTACATCGACTCTGCCTTTCTGCTCGCTACAATGAAGCAGACTTGGATAAAACTCTGCAGTTTATGAAGCTGGTTCTCTTAAATGAAACAATTTTTTTTTTTTTGAGTTAATGAAGAGATTGTTGAACCCGAATTTCCAAAAGATGATTGTGTTGACATGTTTCGCCCTTGAAGTGCAAGCAATGACGAAAGAAGTGTAAAATAAGAAATAAAAGTAGCAAACAGATTGTGTGATGTGTTTTCTTACTTCACAAGAGTTTTCTTTAGCCAACATCAGCTGAAAATTTCTACTCTAAAAGTAGAAACAGAACTACATAACGCAATTTCAAATGCTTGTCTTGAAATAAGTAGTTTAAATATATCAAAGAAACAACTATACTAAAGGTAACACAGAGTAGAACCCCTCAATTCCTAAAATATAAGATATGAAATTTTCTTGATCAATGTTTGTTGATTTTCCCCACTTTTTTGCCCTAGATTGAATACTCGACAGATATATATCTACCATAAAAAAGAGTTTAAGGGAAGACGGAGATGTCGCGGAAACTCTCCCATGAGACGACAACCTCTTCCATTCCAATCCTCATGAGTCCTCGACGATCTCCCGCTACAGATAACCGCGAGAAGGAGAAATCACAATGGGAGCATCTCGAATAAACTCGGTAACCATTGAACGGCTAGCCAAAGATTTTGTGAATGAAAACTCAAGACTGTAGAAAGAGACGGAATGTAATTCGATTAAAGGATGATGAAATGATTAGAAAGTAAGAATCGACAAAGTAAATATACCATCAAAGAAACAAACATGAAAATTTACATATCAATGTCAAAGTTTAACAAATCAAACTTAATTATAAAAACTAAAATTACACTTAAATAGAGGAATAGATAAACACAATAGACTCAATAAAAGAATTTATTCCCACATTTAACTGAACACACTATATCGTTGAAACACTTCAATATTTTGCCTTGACAAGGGTTCTTGCAATACCAGTTCATGCATAATGGTCGAGAAGTATTACTTTTACCAAGAATTTGAGCATCCGTCTCAACAAACTTTAAAGTTTGACCAGGCTTCACATATAGTATGTCTCCACCAAGTAAGCATTCAATATGAAATGTGGTGCCACACTCGTCGCACCAATAGAAATATTTTGTGTGTGTATCTTTTAAATTAAGTTCACATAACTCGCACCAGTCTCTCTTACATATTTCTTCTCCAAATAAAACTTTGAGAAAATGTTTGTCATGTTTATACCTTACTTTTTGTGGCAAGGTAGCACACTTGATGCATATAATAAAATCACATTTTCTGCAATTTAATTGTTTATGACATCTAGTTTTGCATACCTGGCAAAGTAATTCTTCTTTTGGATCTGAAGCGATGAACATGGGATGTTCATGATATTTATAATTAAATGGCTCATAAATGGAAGCACATCGTACATCGAGATAGAATTTGCAGTCCCCTATGTGACATCCATAGATAAAACCACCACAAAACGTTCACAAGCATTGCACATGAATCTACACAAATCATTCTACACATGGTCCAATGTAAGCTGATGAGGATGTAATGCATGTTGTATTATACGGCGAGAATTTGCGCATGTTTCATGGAGGATGAAATCACTGAGTAGAAATTACCATCAAAGATAGGAAGAAAACACGCTTGACAAAACTTGTTTTCATCATAAAGTATGCTGACTTCGAGCCGGAGATGATGTTCATGAAGAAAATGAAGTATTACTCCTTCAGATATCATATCAAACGGCCCGACATCTTGTGATTTATTATCTTCTTCAGGTACACTTTCGAGATCTTCACCATCCCATACATCTTTTCCTAGAGCACATCTTGAATGTACACCATAATCACCACACATATCACAACTATATGCACCATAATCACCGTCAATCCTTTGATGACATACCATACAAGACCAATCTCCAGATTGTAGAGACGAAATGTAGGAGAGACGATGGGGGTGACGTGATATCTTGATTATGCGTGGAGAATACATACAATCTTTATGGGCTACAAAGTTGCATATGGCACATATGTATGTGGAATAAAGTTTTCTTAACAAACCACAAACGTTGCAGATTAAAGAATTTTGTCTAGGGAAAAAAGTGAGAGGATGATCATGCCTTTTTGGTTTGTCTATAACCATAGGTATCGACTTCATCGCACATATTAGATGCATAAAAACCCTACATATGGAACAATAATATACCTGACCGAATGCTATTCTTCCACAACATAAACACTCATTAATTATTGTGACCAAAAGGAGGATGAATGTAACTTTGGAGAGAGTGCTCAGGGTGGTAAGTGTGGATGTCGGAATCCGCAATACAAATTTTATGATGTGTATCGGATCGTCTAGCCTTGCTAATTCGAACAGCAATCGTGAGAAGAAAACAAGAGAGTAAAGTGTGTGTATTTGTTTATTGCTCAAGAAAAATCCCCCCCAATACAATGGTTTTCGTTTCCTATTTATAATTACAAGATTTGAAACCGAAGTCGCTCGTCAAGCCGCAGATCTCGCCCTCATTATTGCTTCCGTTTCGAATCTTCCCGATCTAGCAGATCCCGTGCAACCCGCCTTTCATTTAACTCGTGGGATCCCGACGTTTTACTCGAACTGGGCTTGAACTTATTGGGCCGCTCTTTTCGTCCCCTGGACCGGGCCGATAGCCCACTTCGTCTTATTGATTCACTATCTTTCCGGGCCGGATCCGAACTGCGGGATCCGACACCAACAGTTTGCCCCCCAAGTGTTCCGAAGTATTCACTTCGGGATACTTTAAATAACAAACTCTTCTCGGGCTCGGAGATTTCGTCATTAATTCCGCTTTCCCCGGGATTTGGTTCCTCGACCGAAGTGACGTTTCGAGATCTTAGGGTATAAATTTTCCCGCGGATCGAGGGATTCTTCTCGGGATGAGGGCGGCGTTTCGAGTTCCTAGGGTTTCCATATTCCCGCCAGAGATTCCTATTAATACTTGTTTGGACTCTTCGGGTTCTGCACAACCGCTTCAAGTTCGCTCATACTTCGTCGTCTGCTTATTTAAGGTACCGATCCCTCTCCTCCTTTCTCTCTTAACACTTTCCCGATTACGCTTAGTTCTTGTTATTAGTTTCGGATTCGTGTTAGTTCACCGCTCTAGATTAGTTCCGTGCTAGATTTAGGCCAGAAATCTAAAAGATTTCTCAGATTTTCAGCCCTCTGCTCCGAAATCGTTCGCTGTTCTTCATCTCCTCCGCCGTGTTCTCGATATTCCGGTGAATCGCAACCGTCTTCCAAAGAACATCGACCGCTTAATCTTCCCGGTTTCTGGGTTTTCACGAAGATCTTCGAAGTTTGCTCAAGCGTGTTCTTGAGTCGTTCTTGAAATATCTTCCCAAATCCCTGGTACCAGATCTTGTTTCGTCTCTACATTTTCTTTAATTGCGTTATGGCTCCGAAGCGAAGTAGGAAGATCCAGAATGAGACTCACATCATGGAAGGCGAGTTCGGGAAGTATTTTTCTTCGAATCTCGACAATAAAAAGCTGGCTCTGCTGAAAGGTGCCTGCCAGATCCCTCGTCAAGTCTCCTTGATTACTCCGGATCCCACATATTCTCCGGAGTCTCCACCTTCCTGTCATACTTGCGCTTTTGAGATTTTCTTTTCAGAATGCGGGCTATCTTTTCCGCTTCCCGGCCTTTTGGTCGAATTGATGCACGAACTCGGAATCGCACTTCCTCAACTATGTCCAAATGTAGTTAGGACCGTCCTATGCCTCTAGACCCTTGCAGAGGAAAATGGATACCGTATCACGCTATCCGACGTACTCCATCTTTATACAGTGAAGAAGGGACGAACTCCGGAGACGTTTTTCCTCAGTCCTCGGAGTAATTTCAGAGTCTTCGGGGATTTTCCCGAAAAAGACGAGCAATGGAGAAAATCCTACTTCTTCTTCGCCGTAGACGAGTTTTCTTATGGTCCAAATACGGATTATTTCGTTCGTGAATGGACTCGTCGTCCCGGTAGATAGCTCCTTAGGTTTTTCACTGCTTTTTCACTCGTCTGTTTTTTTTTCTTTCTAATCTGTCACTGTTTTTGCTTTTGCAGTTAAACTTCTGAAGAAACCGCTTTCTCATACCTTTGCGGGGCAATTCATAAAGATTTGCAATAGCAGCGACCTGTCGTGGGAATTGTTCACTTGCGAACGCATCCGGAGTTCGTGTGCTCGAATTGTCTCGCGGTCCGACCTCATTTCCTCCACTCCTCCCTCCTCCCCTGCTGTTGCCACTAACATGTCTCCACTTTCCTATCGCGAAGAGAAGAGGCTCCAAAAGGAAAGGGAAAAAGCGAGAGAAGCGAGAGAGAAAGAAGATAAGGCCAGGATGATGAAGGCCTTGGATGAAGGGAAGTCCAGATCTTCATCCGGTAAAGGGAAAAACTCGGGTACCGTAGATCCGGTTTCCGAATCGAAGACCTCTGATCACCGTGATCTAAAGAAGGTGTCTTCGGGAAAAGACCTAATCCGGATCTCGGATTCTCGTTCCTCCCGATCTTCTCGGGAAAAAGAAAATTCTGAAGGAGGCCATAGTGCAACCTCCTCAAGGAAACGCAGGAACGAGGAATCTGAAGTTCCTTCCCTTCAACGCAAGAGTCGTTCTCGTCTGAACGACGAGAAAAATCCTTCTGAGGATGCTGGAACCAGTCTGGGGTCAAAACCAGAAGAAAAAGAAGATCCACAACGGGCCCCAGGGTCCGACTTGCCAACTCAGCTTCTTGTCCTGCCTTCGCGGGATTCTGAGAACCGGGGATCCGTCCGTCAGGAGATTCCGATCCCTACTGGTAAGTAGAGTCACTTCGTATTTCTCTCTCACTTTGAGTTCATTTTGACGTTTTTTTTTATTTTAACAGCTCCTCCGAAGTCACCAGCTGATTTCATGAGGAACTTTACTCCTGTTGGGATGAGGATTCCTCCCTTTAGCGACTTGAAGGAGGTCAACAGAGCGAACTACTTTTGCTTCGCTGATAAACTCGGAGAGGTAATTCTTTGAACTCTTCTCCTTATATAAAAACAAGAATTTTTCTTTCCGTCCTCATGAATCTTCGTTTCGACAGTTAATGCTCGAGTACAACATCACCTTCTCCTGCCACGAGTCCCAGCTCTTTCCAGTTAACGAGCTGGATGGCCTCAGGGCCCGGGTTGCCGAACTCGAAGAAGAGATCCGTCAGCTCAAGGAGATGGAGGAGGAAAATGCCAAGGCGGTGGCAAAGGCGAACGAGATCCGGGAGCGAATGCTGGAGGCCGAAGGTCGCAAGAACTTGTACCTCGAGGCATGTGACAAGATTACCTCGCTGGAAGCCGAAGTTAAGCGAAGCGAGGAATGGTGCAAGATCGCTGCTGAGAAACGGGACGAGGAGCTCGCAACAGCGAAAAAAGATGAAAGGATGAGGCTCCGTGAACTCTATAGCGGACTCGCCTCGAAGCATGAGACCTACTACAAGGCCATCAGTGATAACGAGATGATTGGGACGCGTCTTGCCGAGACTCGGGCGAACCGAGAACTTCTTGAGGAGATTCTGAAGGGAGAGGTTCCGGATTTAAAAGCCGAACTAGAGTCGGTAAAGAAAGACGAGGAAGAGGCTGAGAAGAAAGCTCGCGAGGTAAGCGCTCTCAGACCTCAACCAAATGAGTTTGCTCATCTCTTTGTAGCGACTCCCCCAGAGCCCGTGCAAGAGACATCTCTTCCCGAAGATGATGTTGCCATTGATGAGTTCGGAACTAACAAAGATTTCATGGCTGGCCAGGACTTCGAAGCTGCCGTTCTGCCCAAGGAGATGCAGCAGGATCCCGACGTCAAGGGTCAATGATCTGGTTCCGGGGTTGTGATGGCTAGTGTACCCCCCTTTTGTTGTTTTATTTTTCAAACTCAAAACCTATTTATCGCTTTTTGAAGACTTGAATATTTCCTTTATATAAGTCCGTTTGAATTATAAATCCGGAGTATTCAAGAAATTTGAATACCTCGTATGAAAAATTAAGAAATACTTGGATTTCAACGAGATACGCAGTTTACATGAACTCAGAATTCATTCTTCAATGGACAAGGGAAATACTAAGAACGAGAGAAAAAATGAGGGTCGGGACTCGGAGTCCGCAGAAATCCCTAGTCTGTGTTGAACCAGACCCTTTTTTGCTAAGTAAAACTTAGGCTTATCTTTCAAGAATTACCAGAGGTCTGAGCTCGGTTTTCGAGAAAGGTAGTTACGAGGTTCTTCTCGGTTTCACGGATTGCGAGATAATTCTCGGCTTCTTTGAAAGATGTTTAGAAGAATATAAACATTTTATTTGATTTAGAGACTGCACTCGAAGTTCGAGCTTCCTACGTACCCAAAGGTGGGGATCAAGTCTATCGTAGTTCGATTTACAAAAATGAAAATAATAAAATACTTAAACAAAGTATCTCTTCAGATAAATGGAATTCCAAGCTCTTCGGACTGCTTTTCCTTCCATGTTTTCAAGGCGATAAACTCCATTGCAAACTACCTGAGTAATTCGATAAGGACCTTCCCAGTTGACGCCTAACTTTCCCGCTCCGTCTTCAGCTGTATTTTGCTGAACTTTGCGTAATACTAATGTCCCAACGTCGAAGTGCCGACTTCGGACAGTCGAATTATAGTATCGAGCTGCGGCATTCTGGTAATTTTGCATTCGAATCAAAGCTCGATCACGTCGCTCCTCAATGGTATCAATAACGTCCACCATCAGTTCGCTATTAGCTGCCTCGTTCTGCGGGTTATTCATCCGTCTCAGACTTGGCACAAATATTTACAGCCTCCATTCCATAAACTAATGAAAATGGTGTTTCACCAGTTGCACGCCTAGGAGTAGTGCGAATTGCCCAGAGAACACTCTGTAGTTCATTAAACCAAGTTCCTTTGTGCGACTTGAGTTTTTTCTTCAAAGTAGACAAAACAGTTTTGTTCATTGCTTCGGCTTGACCATTACCCTACGGATAACGAGGCGTTGATCGACTGAGTCTGATTTGCCATTCTTCGCAGAAAGATTCGAATTGCCGTGAAATGAATTGAGGTCCGTTATCAGTAACGATCTCATATGGCAAACCGTGCCTATAAATGATGTCCTGCCAAATGAACTTGCGAACTTGAACCTGAGTTATGTTTACGTAGGCTGCCGCCTCTACCCACTTCGAGAAATAATCGGTAAGTACCAAGACAAATTTCACTCCACGAGTAGAAACATGAAGAGGCCCAATAATATCCATAGACCATTTCATAAATGGATAAGGCGAAT